AATTCCGTTATTTAATTGCTGCAATTGAATGTTTTGAATGAATTAAATTGATTGTTCAGTTGAATTGTTTGAATGATTAAATTGATTGTTCAATTGAATGTTTGAATGATTAAATCTGATTGTTCAATTGGAACAATTAATCGATCAATTGAACATTCCATTGATCAAATTGGCAACCAATCAAATCGATCAATTGAACCGTTTTGAAATGATTCATTGAGACTGTTCCATTGAACAATCAATTGCTCAATTGAAGCGTTTGAATTTTGACAACATATCCCCTCCCATAGGTACTGCCGAGTACTGGAGCAACAGACTGCAGCGCATACGTAGTGTTGGCGCGTTTTAATATGCTCATTTTCGAGGTTGCTTGCCATGTTATGTGATGTTTGCAAAAACGTTCTCAGGAAATGTCAGGAAAACTTTCCTAAAACTACGTTACTCGAATATGTTCTGCTAACGGCTAAAAAGAAACATTCCGCATTAACACTTCCAAGGAACAATAACTTTCTTAGGCTGGGTACTCACTCCACAAGAGCGTACCAGTATGTGTACTTATGCTACATCATTTTTTTAAAAATGTTTCACACCTAAATACTTTTCGTAAAAGTAATGTATATATAACTTTGAAAGGTGGAACAAAATGAATGAAAACTGGGAAGTTCATTGGTTTGAAGGAAGTATTAGCCGACTACATGGAACGGGGATGTTGCGGGTGCCAGCCGGAAAGCACCGTACACAGATTAATGTGTCACCGGGATTCGTCATTATATGGCGGATTTTGTCTATCGCCAAAATGCCGTCTTTTTAAAACAAAACACTAGGCCAGAAATTGAAAAAGATAGGCCAAATAAAATAACCTGAGCGAACATTCGTATTGTGGATGTGTGGGTGTTTGCCGCATTGTATGTAGAACTAGTCTGTTTTAAACATTTCTGCGGGCATAAAAATATCTCTGTTTCTATAAAAGTTATTTATGCATTGGCATCTCCAGTGTTTAGATCAAAAAACTTCGCTTATTATTGGCTAATTAAGCGTTTCTCAACTTGTTTAAATTTGCTCGCGATATAAGGTCACAGTAACTATTTCTATTAAATGTATTTTTTGTTCAAGTGTGACATCGATAAGTGTGTGATTTAACTTTTAGGCAGAATATTAATTTCAGCTTACATCGGTAGGGCCTATTCAATCATTTTTAACGTTGACTCTTAATTGTGACTGCACGATGCAAGGGCGAGATAATCTGTTTTTTGACTGTTGGCCAGTCGTCGTTATCAGGGCTGCTATAATGCAGCTCGCATAAAAACCGCGTTGCGGTAGTTTACATCACGCGGAGTTTCAGCAGAAGTTTACAGCCGCGCCCGCTTGTTATCAGGGCTGTATCATGCAAGCCGCATAAAAACCGGTTTCGTAGTTTACATACGCGGCAGTTTGGCAGGAAGTTAGCAGTCGCACCGCTGTTATCAGACTGCTCATAATTTGCCATTCCGCATAAAAACCGCGGTATCCGTAGTTTTTACTATGCGCGAGTTTTGGGCAGGAATTAGCAGTAAGGGGGCGCGCTGTTATAGGGCTCTATAATGCAGCCCCCATAAAAACCGCTTCGTAGTTTTACATACGCGGAGTTTGACAGAACGTTAGCCGCAAGTTGCGCGCTGTTATCCGGGGCTCTATAATGCCAAGGCCCGCCATAAACGTAATAGTTTGGCAATGTCTCAGCTTTTGTTGAACTATCATTATAGGGCAGTGTATCATAGGCTGGCCACTGTACTTGCTACTAATAGTACATGGAGTGGTATTTTGGGGCATGCATTGTTGTCAGAATTTCACTTTTGTGCCTAAGAACTAACGCAGAATCTATGGTTGGTTTTGGAAGTATCTGCTAATGTAAAATGCTATATTTGTTTTACTACTGCATCTTTTCTTGCATGAAAACATTCACCTACACTTTGTATTTCACTCAAGAAACAGCAACAAATTGTCAAATAAGAAGCTTCTTTCGACCATAATTCTTGGCAAGTTGCTATATTTTATGATGTTACCTTTTTTGTAAAGAGTATTTACACGTTGTGCAATTGAAGTCATCAACTTACCCGCAAACCATAACATCCTGAAGCAGCAGAAGAAATTGGGCCAATTTATAGTTAGTATTACCTCATCTTTTAGCCGATTTTTTAAGCCTTTTGTGTCCACACTTTTACCATAAAACTTGCGAAAAACCCATTAGCGAGAAATTCTCATTTCCAAGAATTCAAAAGTATTTCCATGTGTCATGCACACACGCAGGTGCGCAAATCCATGGGGGGACAGGTGGACATGTCCCCCACGAATTTTCAGCAGGGGGACATCATATCAAATGTCCCCCACGATTTTGAATCACGCATGATTTTTGTGTGTAAGGTGTGCGCTGTGTGTGTTTGTGACAGTGAGAACTCTTTTTGATTGTGTGTGATAGTGCCGTCAACGATTGGCTTCTTTCCTTTTTGCCATGCTTTTCATTGTATTCAAGTGCATGTTTAGAGGCATAATAATGTCATGCCACAACTTAAGAAAATGTGTGCTCTGATAAATTTAGTCACCGTTTCTGTTTTATACACTGTTATTTTTTCTTATATCAAATAATTCTTATGCAGAAATCCATCAAGACACAGCTGCGTCAGAGCGACCGCGCTCATCTAACCGTCTACTGGCGGTGACTCTGTGTGGAGCGTGGTGGGATTTCTAGTAAACGCCTGTTAGTTCCCAACATGTGTTCACATAACACGGCCGAAAACAAAGTGGAAATGCTGACAAGGGATGGTATCAGGAACGCTTCTTCACAAAGAATGCTTCGGGATCGTCTATGCAAAGACGTTGCACGAGATGGCGCGTACGTTTAAGTGTCTCAGAT